TTCCTGCTCCTCGGCAGGAAGACGCTCCCACCTGCAAACTTTGCCTTTGCAAAGTTTAAGCCTGGAAGCCCCGGAAAAAAAAGGGGGATCGGCGGGGACTCACCTTCGGAGAGGTCGCACTCGAAGGTGATTTCGAACTCCCAGCCAAGGCCCTTGCAAAGTTCTTCTTTTCTTTCCTACCCCGAGAGCGCTCCGCACTGTTTTGCAGCTTTGGGGGCTACGCGGTGCAGGGCAATACGCCACGCCCAGCGATTTTTTTTCAGGGGCGGGCCGGATTGGACAGACCAATGGGCCGGATGCGGCCCGTGGGCCGTAGTTTGCCCACCCCTGGACTGGCAGGATGTAAAGAACCTCAAGATGGCAGCCAAATTGTGCCATAGTGTTTAGTCAAAATCTTGCTGCTTTTTTTTTTTTTTTAGCTGTGTGTGTGATGCCCTTGAAAACGGAGAGAAAACCAACTGTGTACGAACAGCTGCCATCCTGATTCTTTGGGCTCCATCCTCCCTCACTGGACACTTTTGACTTCCTGTGTTGCATTCAAAGGGGAACTTTAGGAGAAACGTGCTGGGCTGGGATTTGGATGGATCCCTGCTCTTGAGGGCAGGTCATTGGTGGCCAAGTGAGAGAGGCCGAGTTTGGGGAAGTCCCCGCTTTCAGCCAAGAGCTCATCCGGCACAGCTGCAGAGCAGAGGCAGCCCTGGAGGGGTCACAGCAGGCCGCCCTCAACCTATGACAGTTTGAAGTTACAACAGAGCCCGCCCACAAAAGGTACTTTATGACAGTGATCCATAATGGGGAGATGGCCGTAAGTTGAGGATCACCTGTACTTATTTACTTTTATTTATTATCAAATTTAGAAACCACCGATGTCGCCCAGAGAGTGAATGATTTGCCTTGTTGCTCATTTTAATCAGCAGCAGGGGAGGGGGTGGTTAGGGAAAGAAAAGGTTTAGCGGGTTGAATTGAGCCACTGAGTTGAGTATCAAAAATTCAGAATTATTTCAATGAATTTTGAAAGGCTTACATTCTTGTAAATGTTTTTTTTTTTAAATGCTTATGCTCCGGTTCTGTCTCACGGCCGCCTCCCAGAAGGGAAGGAAACCACTTGGGGGCTTTCCAGAGGCTCCGCAGGACGACTTCCGGGAGGGCCTGAAGGCCTGGCGGTCACAGGTTCTAAGGGAGATCTTTGGAAGCATCATAAAACCCACACTGGGGAAAAGCCACATCAATGCAACGAATGTGGACAATTCTATCGTACCACATCAGCCCTTAGAAGTCATATGAAAATTCACACAGGAGAAAAAAATTACAAATGTTTGGACTGTGGGAGAACATTTGCTGAACCTTCTTCCCTTAGAAGTCACAGCCGAATCCATACAGGAGAGAAACCTCACAAATGCTCAGAGTGCGGTCAGTGTTTTGCTCGGAAAGATTATCTTGTGATGCATCAGCGAATCCACACTGGAGAGAAACCATATAAATGCCTGGAGTGTGGAAAATGTTTTGCCCAACCTTCAGCACTTCGGATGCACACCTGAAATCACACAGGAGAGTAGCCTCACAAGTGTGTAGAGTGTGAGAAATCATTTCGTTGCAAACCAAAGTTTAAAATACACCGGAAAGAGTTAAACCTGTTTAGCTGTGGACAATGTGGAAAACGTGTTTTTTTTTAAATATCACATCTTATAATTCACCAGAAATAACACACAGTGTCAGAAGGGAAACGCTAACATTTTTGGGGTGTGGGGAAAACGTTTTTCCAAGTCAAGCAACCTAAAATTCCATCAGAGAGTACACAATGAGGCAAAAGGGCATAGGTGTTGGTTGTGTGAGGTTGTTTACTCACAAAGCCACATTAGTCACTTACCAGAGTGATGACACAAAGGAGCTATGAGTGTGCAAGGAGTAGATATAATGTTTTGCAGAGTACAGGAAGTCTTTGACTGATGACCATAACTGGGAATGGATTTTGATCATAAGTTGTTACCGTCAAGGCACCCAGGTATTCTTGTTAATTTTTACCAGACTTTTATTGATCAATAAGGAGAACTGAGGATTTAGAGAGCAGGAAACGGGGCGAGGGATGGAATGAAAATGCACCTGTTTGGTTACTTAGTGTTGGTGTTGAATATGCTAGCTGAGGATGAGGGGGGAATATTTCTTTTTGGGAGGGATTTTTCTTTTGCTTTTTTTCACATTGTCTTTTTCATAGGTTCAAACACACACACACACACACACACATACAGTATATTCACAGACATACTGTACATACGGTAGCTGTATTGAGTTTCTTTGTTTGATCTGCGAATATCATCGGCCATAAAAATACTTCTTTAAAATAATGAAGTAGAATGTATTTAGAACATGGACCGAGTCAAGATGGCTATCAGGTGGCTCCGTGCTCTGCAGTCCATGCCCTGTAGTTGTTGATGTGCTGAGGAGCTGGGATCTGCCTGACTCCTATTGGCTACTTCAGGGGGGCTTCTGGCATCTCCCCCCCCTCCAAGCACAGGCAGGGCCCCCGGTGAGCCCCTTGATCCGGACACCTGGTTCCCCAGAGGCACCTGGTACCCAGATGCCCGTCAAGTCAGATGGAGGCTCTTCCTCTCCGTGGATTTAAAGGCTCCTTGGGAAGAAGGTCCAGTCCTGGGATACACGGAAGGTCAACTGGAAATAGGGAAAAGGGGCCGTTCTGCCATTTCATGCTGCCAATTCCTCTATCCCCCCATGGGCCCCTGTGAGGATTCAGCCCCTCCTGCCAACAAAGGGGGCTTCATTGTTCGTGGCCCCTCCCGTGGGGGTCTCGGCCATCTTCCCTTCCCAGCTCAGGTGAGAGAGGCTGAGTTTGGGTCAGTTCCCCGCTTTCAGCCAAGAGCTCATCCGGCACAGCTGGAGGGCAGAAGCAGCCCTGGAGGGTCCCTGCAGGCCGCTTTCGACCTGCGTCCGTTTCGGAGTTACAACAGAGCCCGCCCACAAAAGGGACTTTATGACAGTGATCCATAATAGGCAGACGGTCATAAATTGAGTATTACCTGTACTTATGTATTTTTATTTACTATGGAACTTATATGCCACCTATATCGCCCAGAGACTGAATCATTTGCCTTGTTGGGAAGACATCCATTTCATTTCACAACAAAAATAATAGAAGAATGGAATGGAATGGAATGGAATGGAATGGAATAGAATAGAAATAGAAATAGAAATAATAGAAATAGAAATAGAATAGAAATAAAATAGGAATAAAATAGGAATAGAAAATAATAAGGATAGAAAGAGTAGAAGAAGAATAGGAATAGAAAATAAGAATACAATTGAAGAATAGAAATAGAATAATAGAATAGGAATAGAAAATAATAAGAATAGAAAGAATAGAAATAGAATAGGAATAGAAGATAAGAATAGAATAGGAATAGAAAATGATAGAATAGGAATAGAAAATAAGAATAAGAATAGAACAGAACAGAATTCTTTATTGGCCAAATGTGATTGGACACACAAGGAATTTGTCATCTACTTGTCATCTACTTGCCAAGATGGGTGGCAAATAATTTTAATTAATAAATAAATAGCACAAAGGAAAGTATGGCCCTGTCAAGAGGAAGAGTGAGCCGTGAAACGGATCCAAGCAGAGAGAGGCAACGTGTCACGAGGAAGCCAGGATCAAGTAGCCATGATGGGGTGGAGTTCATAAGTGCAGAAATAGCAAGAAAAGGGGGAGATTTACACCTACCTCGACTCCCTCCTTCTATTTGGCTTAGATGATGTCATGACTTTTTGCGTTGCCTGTAGGTGGTCCTCAACTTACGACTACTGTTGGGATTGGAATCTCGCTTGTTTGAGCGACCTGGTCATTACGCGAGATGTGCCGTGGCCACGTTCCTCAAGGACTGCAATTTTGTATTCGCTTGTGGCAGCTGTTAAGGGATCTCACAGGTCATTAAGTAGATGGAATCCCAGGCACGACGCGTGGATTTCCAAACAGGGGAGGCCACGTGAGTCCCGGCACAGCCTGTGTTTGACTTGAGGGGCTCCTGGAGAAGCTTAAGAGAAGTTTTGGGTCACCCCATCATAGAATAACCAAATTGGAAGGGACCCTGGAGGTCATCTAGTCCAACCCCTTGCTTGAGCAGGAGAGTCTACTCTGGGGTGGCTTGGAAACGGTATGGAACATGCAGCTTGGAGAACGGTGCAAGGCTGCAAAGGCCACCTGTCCGGGGATTAAGGCCACATTTCCCCGTGGCAGCAGTGACACTGGACTGAAGTCCAGGCCTAGGGTCAGTGGCAGCTAGCTGAGAGCGCTGAAGGCCCCAGGCCTCTACTTAAGGCCCGGCTCCAACGTTGCTGTCAATCAGGGCTGCTTTGTAAGGCTGGGCTGGTGCAGCTCAGGCTTCCAGCTTTGCACCCTGCTTCAACAACTCCCCAACTCATGGGTGTTCTGTGCTAGGTCTCCAGGACCTCCGCCCCCCACTGAGACAACCCCCCCTCCCCCACGGCTCTTGCCTGCACTACCCTCCACTTAAGAACCCTCAAGATCGGGAGTCTCCAACCTTGGCAACTTTAAGGCTATTGGACTTCAACTCCCAGAATTCCTCAGCCAGCACGACGGCCATGTTGTGGCTCTAAAGCAGCGGTCTCCAACCTTGGCCACTTTAAGGCTAGTGGACTT